TATATTTAAGTACGGCATTAAACTTTTTTGCACGACCAGCACCGTCTTGGAGAGGAATATTAATCTAAAATAAAATGATTTATTAGGCACAAAATACAAGAGAGCAAATGAAACAAAAACTAAATAATATTTAATAATTACCCCAAAAAATTTTTTAAAATCTTTACCATTGCAAAGCTTTTTATAAGAATATATCATGTTACCATCATATACTGGAGAAACATTTTGACCAAACTCCTTATTTTTAAGTAATTGATAAAAAACGGCTTCAGATTCTTCTCTTTTTGCTTTGTTTCCTTGTTGAGGTTTAACTTCTAAAGTATAAGAGTGAACAGTAGGATATTTGAACTAAATCGAGAAATACACGTAGTATCAGGTATCATTTAATACTATATGATAGGTTTGAGACATAAATTATATATACGATTATGCTTACACTTCCTTTAATTTCTATATAATTAACTATAACCTCAACCGGTTTTCCTCTAGTAGCCGGTTCCTTTGGTCTTAAAGCAATTTTATTTTTTATGTCGTTCGACATGACACACGATACCGAAAAAAAAAGCCGATAGAAATAACTTAAATTGGAAATATTAATAAAAAAGGAGCCTTTCCGTATATAATCGAATTAAATAAAAAATGGTTTCGACAAAATAATGCTTGTTTTTTTTTTTTTTTATCTAACGAAAATGTTTTTGAGAATTGTTTAGAGTTTACCAACGAAATGTTTTTAGTTGAACAAAATTTGATTAACCGAAACTAACTTTGATCCATTACTCATAACCAAGCGTTGTTATATAGGAATTTTAAAAAAGCTCTGCAAGATAACTTCCTTATTTGAAAACAATGCCAGTTTCTGGGCTTGTGTGACACGTAAGGCGCTTTAATGCATTTAAGATGACATATGAAACGACAGTCATTAAAGCATGGACTTACACTGGCGATCATAAGTAGTGCAACAAAAAAAAATTTTTTTTTAGATCGCAATATTTCAATATTTCACGCAATTCTGGGTCTATCTTTTCAATTTTTTTTTTATTTTACTCGCAAATAGTATCCTTTTTAAATA